AACAAAATGGCGTAGATTTCGTTTCCGGAAAATTCCGTTGGCACGGTTGGCTTACAAATACGGATTACGGGTACGACCAAATCCAAAGCTTTCACCCCAAAACCAATTAAGCCAGCAACCACTAAATTCTAGCGTCTTCCAAAATCCCACAAAAAGGTGGATGTTCCCAAGGAACCTTGCCAAGAAGTAAAATCTGCCAAGAACTTGTTTTTTGCTCAACGTGCGAATTTAAAAGAGAACGATCCCTTTTCAGCGATTTAGTAGGTAGGCTTCAATATGAAAATTTTTCTATATAGAATTCCAGTTTTTTTCTTCAAAATGTCCTCTGGTGCCAGATTTCCAATCTCGACCAGGAAGACGGAACAGCAACTTGAATCGGAACACAATCAGCTTGAAACAGAACACTCTGAACCACAATGATGACCGACAAAACTCAAAGCTGTTATTAAATTCTCTCCCTTAACATCAATTAACACTAATTAATCACTCATACAAGCTATTAATCAATCAGCATCTACTCAGTCCTCAGTCTACAAACTATCCAAATGACCAGTGACTGTTTAGGGATCAGTGTTGCCAGAGAGTAAAAATTTTTTGTACCAAAATTAAAGAAACATTGTACCAAAGCGGGTTATCCGGACCACTCGGAAAAAAACATATGGCAATACTGCTTATGATACAACAAACGTTAAAAAATTGACGTTTCAAAGTAGGCCTTGTTTACTTTAAAACTCGATACAAAATGGCGTTTCTTTGTCAAGATTGAAAACACTCTCGCTCTTCGGGCTCGTGATTAAAAAAAAAAAAACACTTTTTCAATCCTCTAGCGTTACAGTGTTGCCAAAAGTTAAAAATTTTAATCAGCCTACAACATCATAACAATCGTTTCTTGATGTCAATTGCCATTTTTCAACGTTTTACATTTACAATTACAAATGCTCCAAAATTACCGTTAAAATGTGGCAACGTTGCTGTTATAAGTCTCAATCTGAATCACAAGGCTGTCAATTGACAAAGAAAGTCTTACAATCGTAGGTGGTCCTGAAAATTAACTCGTTAATTGTCAAAACTCATAATATTGTATGTAGGCTTGTCAGTTGTCAAAAAAAATTGAGTAATTATTCCAAGTGTTTGAACCGGGAACAATCGAAAATTTACTCTGATGATAATTTGTTTCCTACTTTATCTCGCTCTTTGTCTTACTCATTTATAATCGCTTTTGGTTATCCTACCTTATCCTCTTTGTTTTACTTATTAAAATCTGGAAAAACATTATGTTTGAGATTGTAATTATGGCAACATCGCTTTTGTTCAAGTAGGTCTTGTAATATAATGTCATTTGGCATTTTAGACAGTCGGTCATTTTCAAGTGTTTTTATCCAGTTTCTCCTCGAATTTTCCACTTTTCTCGGGAAAACTGTTAAGCCGGCCCGAAGGGCCGGAGTTATACGCAAGCCCGAAGGGCTAGAGTTATACGCGAGCCCGAAGGGCCGGAGTTATTGTAATCACGGAACCCAGTTTGTAATTCTATTAGTCAGTGGATAATTTGGAACCAATCAAAAATTAAGAATATTCAAAATGCGATTTTTAGCGCCCAATCAAAAAGCCGGCAATATTCAAAAACTTTAGTTTTATTAAGTTGAC